AGACTTCAGTTCAATGTCTCTTGACATTGAAAAGAGGAAGTAGCTGAAAATGATGGAGAAATGGAGTAGCAGAATGATTTACAACTCAAAACTTGGCCCCCTACACAGAGAGCTGGTGGAAGTAGCCAAACAATTTTCGAATTGATTCTGTGGGATATGCCACGTTTAAACCGCTGTGCTTACAAACCAGCTTGGCTTTCACATTAACACAAAGAACTTCAGTATGCCTGTCCATATTCTCACATCTTAGCATCAAGAATTAATGCCCCATTACTGACCCAGAAGCATGAAAACAGGTATTTTCACAACAGAATTTCACAATTCACAACAGAACTACCTATAGCCATACAGAAAGGGAATGCTTCTATGAAATAGAATGAGACTCAGGGCTCCTGTGAAAGAACAAAGGTCAGGGCAAAAAAAAGATAAGTCAATGTGTGATAAAAAGTGAACAAGGATGCAGCTAGAACTTAAAAAAGAGAAGAAATTTTGTCGGCTATGAATTAATATAGCTCCCTAAACAAGTATTTAATGGGATTCTCCAAATAGATCTATACCACAAAACAAGCTGAGCTGCGGAAAACAGAAAGCAGTCAGCATCCCAGACAGTACTGGAATCAGAAATAAAGTTCAATTGATGATGAGTGAACTAACAAGCCCTGACAATCAGCTGAAGAACATGATAAAATACCCATGACAGTTTGGCTAATTTTTCTCAAAATTAACTATGTCTGTCCATGGCATGACACTACACAGTGCCGTATGGAATACTGGTATGATCGAGCACTGCGCGATTCATGTACCTCCAGATTGCACTCTATTGTATATAGTAGGCCACTCCCTGACTTCTCTGCCTTTTATTTTATTCCCAACATTCTCACCAAGCCTAAGCAACTTACTCCATTATTCCAACAAGTCAAAACTTCATATAAATTGAGAAGGACTCTTATGGTCCTTTTTGATTAAGTTATCAGAACACTAAAATCTGTAAGTACTAGATTAAGAATTATTTGGAAAAAACCAAAAACAAATCAAAGAAAGACATTAAAGCCATCATACATACGACAGAGATGACATAGCACAGGTTCGGATTCCCACTGCTCTCAACAAACTCCCACTGGCAGCTTTTGCAGATTCAGTTGATAAACACCGGTAAATAAACTACATTAAGGTCTAATCTTTTTGCTAACTGTAAAGTACAACCAAGAATCTGGATGCAACAGAGACCAGAGCTAGTATTATTTTCTCATATGCTACTCCGCAATAGATCTTAAGATAAAACCAATTGTACTTACAGGAAGTAAAACCTGCATTTACTTCCACAGGCAAAACACGGTTTCAGAAATGTTATTTCCACCTTGATTTACTGAAATAAGGAAAGGGCAGCAGTAGTTCGAAGTACTACCTTGACAAAAGTTTCCTGAGTCATAACCTCACCAACTGAGGAATAGTCTTAACTTTAAAAGGAGAGGAAAGGAATGGTTCTCATTACATTAAACTTATAAAATACACCGTGCTGAGGTAATTATTCTCACTTCTGTAAATATTTTGCATATGAGCCTGAATATAAAGCATCCTTGAAGCTGAGAAGCTCTAAACACATTCAGTACGCAGAGAAAAATAAACACTGAAGCCTTACCTCAAGGAAGCCCAACTCATCTAGAAAGCTCCGAATATACGTAATGATCTTTGCACGGGTTATAAATTTCTGCCTCACATAATCATTAAGAATTAAATCCAAGTATCTCTGACGATACCTAGTTTCCTGAAAAGAACAAATATCTTTAGAACAAGCTAGACAAAATGTGCTGCCAAAGGAAAAAATACCAAAACAAAACTAATGTTCCGTTGTTGATGGATACCATCAGCAGATATAAAAGGTCATCCATTCAGACCTATCTGTCAAATTGCCTCCCAAGAGTGACAGGTATGACAAGTACCTTATCTTTCAGGCCAAAGTGAAGATGAGGCAACATGTGCAGGCATGGAGACAACAGAGTTATTTCATAAGGAATAATACTCAGTTCCCCTTTCTTTGTTTTCCCAGGATTCCCCTCTACACCAATTATGTCCCCACGACGCAGCTTGTTGTTAATACGGAAATACTCTTCCTCAGATTTGTAGAGCCTGTAATTACAAAACCAATATAAGCAGTTTTGTTTAAAATTTAACATTCCAAACTGTCCTGCAAGTTTCTCCCCAGACCAAATCCTTTAAAAAAAGGATTCTTCTAGCAGGGAAGCCAACCACAACATCCTAAGCAAAACACTACCTGGCTGCCTAAGCCAACCCACAGACGAATAGCCTAAGGAGATGAAGGAATAGAATGCCCAAATACAGATCTCTAGCCCCCAGAATGCAGCTCAGTTTAGAATGCTACTGGGAATACCTCTACTTACCTGGAATTTGCCATGACCTGCAACTTGACTCCTTCACCACGAAGATCATAGAAAATCAGCTTCCCTCCAGAGGCACGCTTTGCATGGATTCGACCTAAATATCAAAGTATGCAGGACATCAGGAAGAGTCACTAGCAGAAAGGATACAGCAGCAAAAGCCACAGTATTATCACTCGGACAAAGGATCGTCAGCTCTGAACTGATCACTAACTGTGAAAGAGAAGCCTCAAAATTAATATCTTAAGTCTCAAAATTAATACCAGTGCACAAAAGACCATATGAACTTTGGGTCCTGGAGCCCATATCACAACCTGATCTTGTAGATGTTGCACAGGTCCACTCAGTCTGAAAGGACGTGTCCTGAAAAGTCTAACACTGATACAGGCTTCGTGACCGAGTAATGGGCGATGGGCAAAATTCAAAAAGAGACCACCCCATCACCAGAAGCAGCTAAGACTTGGCTTAGCAAAGCAACAGACCATCTTTCTGTATCCCAGATAAGCCTTTACCTGCCACTCTCACTGTAATGTCTGTCAAGTGATCTCCTGGCTGCAGGTGACTGTACTTCTCTATAAAATCTGAGAGACATAAGTCTACATGGAACTTGTGGGGATAGGGATCTTCACTGGTGCCCTTCAGCTGCTGGACTGCATGGCTACGGATCTTGTAGTATTGCTGTCACCAGAAACAAAAAAAAACCCAAACGATTTTGTTAGAAACTGAAAATATTTTACAGGTTGTAAATTAAAACACAGCTGCCCTTACATAGGAATATGTAGGTCTCTCCCCTTTTAACCATTTAGTTCCCCTTGAATTAAAAAAAAAACCAATAACATTTATTCTCAGAACAGTAATAAGCATGAAGCCAGATGCTCACATTTGGATCTAAGCTTTCCTCATCAGCACCAATGTTATTCTCAGAGTCAGAAGTCAAGGAAGGCTTATCTGAATGCTTTTCACTTTGCTCTTTCTGCTTTGCCTCTTTTTCAGCTATTTTTCTCTCAGCCTTTAAACGCCTCTTCAGCTCACTGCAAAAGAGAAGGAAACCAGATGCAGCAGGTACTCCGATACTTCTACAGGAAAACACTTGGTAGGATTCTGCCAAAAGCTTACTGTACAAATAACCTTGTCATTCCTCTTACTCTGCCTAAAAGTCAAAGTAACCCTCAAGCATGTTTAAACATTTTCTTCTTTGAACTCTTTTAGTTCACCTCCTATGAGATACAAATACTCAGAGAAAGTTAAAACTGAATTAAACATTACATAAACAGACCTTGAGGATGTGTGCCCGTGTGCCCAAGGACCTTCCGCAGGCCGTTTTATACATAAGAGCCTAGCAACCCCAAGTAGCGTGTAAGTGAAATAAGGCAAACTCTCCACGGAAAAGTCAGGCGCTACTCAGGGTTCCCGAAGCCGCCTTCGCGGCCCGGACCGGCCCCCCCGTGGCCCACAGGCGCCGCGGCTCTTCCCGCAGCTCCCGACCCGCCGGCCGGGGCTTCATAA